GAAATGGTCCTGGAAATTGGTAATGAAATACAGATTTTTTACTCTGACAATGGCTTGATAATTCATTCCTAGCTAGCTAAACGTTCCAGTTCAGTTTTATAGGGGTCATTCATTTCACTGAAGAGTGGTAGGTGATGCTGTGTGCTATTTGTTCTTAATTTGTTTTCCATTTCAAATGATCAAACTGAACAATTTAACTGTGTGTATCTCAAACTGCTGGTGTAAGGGATTGCATCACTGAAGAATTGCCAGTTTTTATAATTGACAGTAAAGCACAACAACAGGATCAGCAGAAACACATTAACAGAAGGTGATTTCTAATTGAAAGTTAGATAAAACTATACTGTCTTTTAGGGTACTTTAAAATGCCCCATACTACATAAAGAATTCTTTTGTCCTGCCTTTACTGTAGGTAGTTTTTTGACAGAGATTTAGGGAACAAAAACTCCTACAAGCTGGTGTCTATTTTGATGAGGCTTGCATCATGTTCTTGTTCAAGCTTTTAAGCTCCAGTATATCTTTTCAGTTCAAAGACAACTCAGGAATCAGGTGCTGCATAACTGTTTTCCACAAACTAGCCTGGATAATCAGAATTTTTCATGAATGTGGAAGAAGTTTCTATTCTGGTATATTGCCATCCTGCAAGCCCCCTCTCCAAATTAATAAAATCAAGTGGCATATCAGCTGCAACGTCATGCATCTGCTTACTAGAGTCTATATTTGCTGCTGCCAGTTTACAACAAGATGATACCATCAGTCTAATTCCCAGATTGCGCTACTCATTCTAGTCACAGAACAGATTAAGGAGGATCAGGAAAAATAGATATGATGTGTATCAAACTGGCACAGTTAGTTAGCAGTGAATATCAAGATACCCTTAAAAGCATATGGGTAAAGCGTAAAGTCTGTAGCTTCAAAAATATACGAAACACATAATACTTGTGCAGACACAATATGTTAGAAGTGGAATATTTCTAATATTGAGAGAAAGTTTGGATTTGTGCTTAACTGCATATATGAATAGTTTCATAAACTGCGTGTACTCCTTATAGAGCAGATTTTCTTGGTTTTGTTTACAGAAAAGGCTGGGATGTAATCTGAAACTGACAGAAAGCATAATTTTGTAAATCAATATCGGCAATAATTTCAAGCATGTTAGAAAAGCACGCTCTCTTCTCTTGCACAGTGTCACTCTGACCTTGAAAATCACCAAATGAAACAGAATAATTTTGCCATCTGGAAATGAGACTTCCCGTCAAAATCTCCTTTAGCTTGTGTAAAGTATTCACCATTATATTTCATCACTTCTTAGAGTTCTGTCAGTGAAGAAAAAAATCCAGAGAGACCATTATCACAAGACATTTGTAAGGACTTGGCATGGTATATCAAGACATTAGGTCTAGTAAATCCAGTATCCTGCCCCTAGCCCCAGCAGCCAGGATTTCAGAATAAAGCCTCTGATTTGTACCTGCCCAGTCAGTAAGTCTTATTTCTCAGCTTCATGGTGATTTGTTATAGGCCTTTTGTCCTGTTATGCTCAGTTGCCAATGTTATTTTATCTGTTTTTTCAGAATATTAATAGCCTTCAAATATTCATTCCCTTTCCCTGCCATCCCAAGGGAGAAGCTGCTCGTTGTCATACAACAAATGGAACAAGAAGTAATATCTGTTATCTGATTATAACAAATACGTGTTTATATGCAATTTGAATGTTAACTCTCCACCTAAAATCTACTAAAGGGAAGGAAAATGTTCGCTACTGTGTTGATTGAAGGTGGGAAAGTGTTTTGTGTTAATTGCGGAGTCAGTGAAAATACCAGCCTCAAGTAGGTAGTGTAGTGTAAAGTATATAAGATATAGTATAAAGAAATAGCTAGATAGACTTGAGTGACAAAAAGAGGTATGCCAAATATGGCAAAAGAGAGAAGTCTTTGGAAAGACAAGGGATGTTATTCTGTAAAAAGCCTCTTTTCTTCAGAATAGAGACCAAACTAGCATAATCATTCAGTTTATTATAGTAAATGTTTCTATCACAGTTTTCATTCTGTAGCATTTCAATGCATTTTGCAACTATCTAAAGCAGATATGCAGTGCTATAGATTGGATATAGTTGCAGTGGTATGATTTTTAAATGTCGTATATTATACGTGTGGTGAAGAAAGAGATACATTATACAGGTCATTCTACTGAAAATGTTAACTAATCACACCAAGTCCAGTAATCTTCAGCTTTTAACGTGGCTTGTAACAAAGGAATTGTCTGTATTAGTTAAATGGGGAACTATTCCAGTGGTATGCTAATATGAATCAATTAAAAATCAGTGACTTACTACCCTCAGAAACAAATTTGTGAATTCAGCCCTCACCTAGTTTGAGTTTTGTTTTCTTTTTTGTTCTTTTGTTCTTTTCTCTTTGGTAAGTAATTTTATATATATATAAAAATAGGAGCACTTACATTCCTCTGGGTAACTTTAACAACAGTTAAATACAGACTCATTTGCTTTTTACTGTTCTTTCCATCATTCTCAAAGCACAACCAAAGACAAATAAACTTTGTAATCCAGAATTAGGATGTACTCAAGCAGGTGGTCTTGCTACCTATGAATAACCTTTACATATTTAAGCAAGATAAAATGAAACAGCCTGGAAGCAAGCTCCAAATAAGGATCCTCAGCTGCATCACCACCCAATTAGAAAAATATACTGGTAGTAGTCTTAGTCTAATAGTATCGGCATGAACATCTGACTGGCATCAAGCCTCGGGAAGACCTACATCCACCTATCTAGTGAATACATGCTCCTTGCTGCATTCCAGTCTGCACCCTTATTGGCAAAGATTTAGGAATACTTTAGATGTTGGGAGTGTTTTCCTATCACAATCTTTATAATAAGTAATATCTTATTAGATACAGGCTACTACTTAGACCAGCAATATCAAGCAACATTTCTTAAGAAAATGCTGACAGCATCCAACAACACACTTGCTTTTTCCCTCTTGCCTTCAACAACTAGTAAAAGCTTCTGTTGGTTTTTGGATAAAATGATCTTGAGACTTCAGAAGGGGCACCTGAGAAAACGTGTCTGTTCCCCAAAGAACAAAGAAAGAGACTGTTTTGCCCAAATTATAAATTTTCCTACAAAGAAAAGTAAGTTCAGTCATTCAGTATAGGCCACTGAGAGTATCCAAGATACCCATTACCCTGAAATAACTTGCCAGTTAAGACTTTACAGAAATCATGCAGACACATGCCACAATCCATACAGCACTGCTTCCTTAGAAGAAAAAATGACAATATTTAATTATAACTGTCTTACTACAGCCTACATAGTGGCTCTAGCAATCTGCTCTTCCGTCTGCTTCAATTTGTTGCCTACTTCTTATATGACCTAAAGAGTGGATGTAACCCCAACCTAAATAGAGAAGTGATGCAGGATAACCACACTATGTGATGCCAAAGAACATGCTGCATCAGCCACTGGCACCAGTGGAGAAAGAGGATACAGTCTTTGTGTCTGTAAGGGCAAAACAAGGGCAAAGGGTGCTTAAGGGCTGTCTGGTGGATAGCTGAGGAGTGCACAGGGCTGCATGCAGCTGAGATGTCTACTCAGTGAGGCAGTGCAGCCCTTCTCATGTCACATAACATGTAGTGCCCACTAGACAACGTAGTGCTAACAGCTGCTTAAATCATATTTCACTAAACCATTGGCAAAGACAGGACCTCAGAGGAAAAGTTTTTTATTTCTGAGACCTTTCAAAACACCCAGATTCTGGTAGTCTCTGCAAGGTCAACTAGGACTTGCACAGTTGGTTTTAATTTTCCTGTTTCTAGGTCCAACCCCCAAATAACTGCAGTGGTTGTATCTTTTAGTAGCATATACCAGAAGTTCCCAAAATATAGCCCATATTTGCCATATACACCATTTGCAGCCTGCAAAGCCTTGATAACCCATAAAGGCATTTTGCAATTGTAGTGTGGCATTTAACCGAGGTGCTGCATGCCAGGTGAACTCCCTTATACAGTCACAAACATGATGTCCAGTTCTTTAAATAGCTTTCCAAGAAGGAATACGCTCCCACAAAAAAACCTTTGAAGATCCTTAGAGTAAAAAGATACTGTTGAAGGAACATGACATATAGTCATAGAAATCGGTCAGCTTCTGGTCAGTTCACAAATGTTAAAAGCAAAGTATGCATTTAGTATCTTGGAAGTTCTTTTGGATTCCTTTCACCTTGTGTGGCTTGTTTTATCAGCTTTCTCTACTGCATGCTTTTAAGTTAGTGCTACTGTTAGATAGATGACGACTACTTCAAAATTACAATTCTAGTTTAGGTTAAAAAATAAAAAAGAGTAAAGTCACTAAAAGTGAAATTACTCAGTTTCTATCCTTCATCTCACAGAGCTATACTCTTTGTATGGGGGAACTGGATGGATTGTGTTTTTTCAAGATGAAGTGGATGTACAGCTGGCTTTGCTGCAGAGCCCTCTAATGGAAGAGATGAACAAAGGGTTTACTCTCACTTTTTACTGATAGAAGTTTTAAGTGGAGCCTTATCCCCATTTTTGCACACATCAGATAAGTAAGACAGATAGTACTGCAACCTGCTTGGTAGCAAATAACTTTCTTGGGCCAGGTCCCCTCATGTAGCACTGTCAGTTCATCACACTCATGATTTATATTGCTACCTGTTGTGCAAGTTAGTTACATACTTTCATACACTTATATTGCTGTTCTTCAGTTCCGGCGTAAAACATCCCACTCTCCCTGTCATGAAGCTCTTAGACAGAAGGATGTCAAACGGTGTGGTATTCTCTTAATGAGATTGCAGTTCTTGAGTTTAATAGAGCAGTGTGAAGGAAAAGATCTTGTATTTTAGAGTTGTATCTACTTACTGTGTATGTGTATATATATCTCTGTGTACAAACACACACACACACACACACAGTAATTCCTAATAGTTCCACACCAGTAATCTGCTTGCCTGTTTTTTTTTTCCTGTAGCCCAGATGATTTACTGAATGCACTGAATGAGGGTATCAGCCGTGCTGATGTGATCATTACATCAGGAGGTGTATCAATGGGAGAAAAGGTATGCTAAATTTGAGTATGACTTGCTAGAATATGTAAGAATTTCAAGCTGGAGTCCATCATCTAACTTTGTATTAATGCTTAATGTTTATTTAAGAGAGATCTTACTTTTTTAGAACAAGTAACTGAGTTAATTAGAAAAGTCTTCAATGCTGTCCTCATTTTCATTGTTTTAATTACTGTACTATAGTAGAAAAACAGTACAGCAGGGAAGATTCCAATTCTTTATGTGAATGCTTTGCAAATCTGTTTTTTGTTTAAGGATCGATTTATGTAGTTATGGTGACAAAGGTGGTTGGTTAATAGCACATGAAGACAACAGACTTCTTTGTATTCTTAGAGTAGGTAAAATGAAGATAAAAATAAAGCTACTTTGAGCAACAGAGTGTATAAATGGTTCTTTCTTACTCAGCAGATCTGTTTCCTGAATGTGCCAGGGCTATATCTGTTACAGAAATAGTTTTATCACATTTTACTCCTGATAGTCCTACAGAGGCAATACCTACAAGACACAGTGAGCTGATATATTTGCCTTTTGAATCATTAACAGAATTGTTGATTGAGTTCCCGTTGGTAATCCCTGTGCCAAAACCATCAAAGAAAATAGGGATACACAGATGCTGGTGGGGCGTAAATGAACCTGCAGGACATTTATTAATCATGACTTATGCGAAGGAAAACTCAGATTACTTTTTGATCCCAGGCTGAATCTGTGAGTTTGGCAGGTAAAAGAAACATCTCTCCTTTTATAACTAACAGATACTAAAGACAGTCACTAGGAGATGACAAACATGAGTGCTGTTTTTTTCACATTTCTGAGTAGAAATGGTATTGTTGGATATATCATGAAAATGGATAACTAGTTAAACCAGTGCCAGTCACTTCCAACACCCTTATTGTCCTCAGTTCCTAGAAAAATAATCAAGGATAAGTGCTGGTCCTTAAATTGGGAAGGTGGTGATGTAGTACAGACACAGGATCACTAGGAAGTTACTAGACTGCTGAATGGTCATACAGGCTTTTATGCATTTTGGCTAAATCCTCTTTAGCCTAAATTTAAGACAACCTTTAGGCTAAATTTAAGACAACAGCATAAAGTCAGTAGGCTCTGCATTCCACTGACAGCTCTCCTTCTGATGCTGAATTTTCTTTAGTGAAATAACTATGAATGTGCAAAAAATTAAATACCAAGTAAAAAAGATGTTACTGCAATCAATAGGTAAGAATTTAAATTTATGCTGGTCCAAAAAATGTTGCTACTTTCAAAGTATTTGAACAAAAAAATGAGAACGGATGGGAAAACTGCAGGGGAGGTTCAGATACAGTGCTTTGCAAGTCTCTCTTCAGAGATGATTATTATGCTCTGTCTTAAGTCTCACTAAACACAACAGACAGGATTCTACATCTTAGAGCACAGCCATTTTCAGTAAGGACTAAAAAGTAATTCTTTTTTTTTTTAAACAGTTGGATCAACTATGTTCATGCAGAATCATTTAACTTGAACTAATGTACAAGCCACCCATAGTTTTTCCTTTCAAAAAACTTTGGACAGCTAAACCCAACCACTATGATTTAGACCATGTCCCCAAGAAATTACAATAATTACAGTATCCTAGAAAACTATGATTTTTACAGTAAGAGCCTTTTTACAGTAAGAGCACTAGGAGATCTCTAACTCCACATAGATAGCTTGTTTGGCAAAAGAGAAGTAACTTGATGATTTTACATCTTAACTTTGATTCATAAAGGGTTTTTTTCCCCTGTTTGGCATACCCAATGTTTTAGTAATAGGTATTTGTGGGGACCTTTAAGATTCTGATGCTGCAGCTGACTTTATGTAAATATATTACTATGTCCTCATGGAGTCAGGTTTGGCACCTAAAATGAGTCTGCTCTTCACCTCTTCTTTTTGAAAATATTTTTTTCAAATACGGGATATTTCCCGCTGGACTATAGCACTTTCAGGATTTGACAAGTCTTTCATCTCTAACTTGGTATTAATTAATTGCTTTGAATACTTAATGACACTTTAATGTTACTTAATCAGTTTTCTCTTTCTAATTTAAACAGGACTATCTTAAACAGGTGCTGGACATCGATCTTCACGCACAGATTCACTTTGGCAGAGTTTTTATGAAACCAGGGTAAGAAATCTTTTTAATTAGGTAGTATCAATGGAGTCTATCTTTTTGGCCAAGTATGCTATATAAGTGTTTCAGTAGATAGTAGCTTTTAAAATACACTGTAAATCACATGAGAGATATAGCTAGCTAGCTAGCTATCCAGCCCTATTCAGTTTAGTCATCATCTTTGTAGGTGAAATTAATTGGAAAAGAGAGATTACTTTTTATCAGTAACAGATATCGTTCTGATAACTGTTGCAAATCAGAGGGGAGGAAAATCAGCATCGTGCAGACATGTCTGCAATCCTGGCTATGATCACTGAGCTCAGACACTGACAAATAACTTGAGAAATATAAGGACATTTGACTGCTGATTTGCCTAACAAGCATCTTGTTTCACTTAAAAATTGACATAACTCATATTGAAGCAAACAAGCAAATTCTTGAGAAAGGTGGAATAACAACTAATTTGTAAGGTGTTTTTGTTTAAATTGACATATTGAACATTGGGGTTTTAAAGGAAACGCAATGCTTAATGTTTGGTTTACCTCAGAAAACACTGCTTCAGTATTGCTTTGCTCTAGCACTGCTAATTAATCTGTCAAGAAATGTACTTTGTGGAGACAGTAAAAATTATGTCTGTTGAGAACAGGGAGTTCTTTTTCACAAATACCAGAGGGAAGAGATTTCTACAGCTCTGTCTCACTAACCGTGGAGTGCAGTTTGTTTGCAAACTAGGTCGGCATGGTCCGATAACTGAAGCCCAAATGCAGCTTGAGGAATGATTCCCTCTATCCTCTAATTGTTTCCATGGAGGAGAACAGAAAGTGGGTGTTTGCTGTGAAAGCTGACAAATGCTCTAAGTATCTCTGCACACAACCCAGTAAAGGACTGCTTGGGGGTTGATGCTTGTGCTGCTGCCGCCGCCATCACCTCCTTTCCATAAAAGGAACACGTCAGCTGAAGGCGTGTTTCTTCCAGTGCCCTTTGCAGCCCAGC